CTTATTTAAAATGTGAATTTGTTTCCTAAAATGTAAATTTGTTTGCTAAAATCTACATTTCTTTTTTAAAAATTTAAACTTTTTTTTTCAAAAATACATTTGTTTCATAAAATATAATTTTGTTTCTTCAAATGTTATATTGTTTGCATAATAAGCCAGCCCCTCCCTCCTTTAAAACAGGGACTCTGACGCAGCAGCTGCAGCTTGCCTGCAGTCAGAGCTCAGGGTGACTCTTGTCTGTTTCCTACGGTGGCTGAGAAGTGCAAAACACATTTACAATTCAAAAACACATTAACATATAAAAAACAAAATTAGCTGCTAGGATAGTAAGCAAGTGCTCTGTGCTCTATGCATAGTCAACAAAGTCGCCAACAACACAGGAAAAAGTTGCTTGATTTGTTGCTGGTAGCTTTTTTTAAGAAAACAATCCATCCAGGGCTGTTAATAGGCATTAAATATAATAGGCATTATATATAGCATTGGTAACTTAAATGGTACGAATGCACGCCTTCTTATTCTACTAGGCCAGCAGGGGGCAGGCCTACGCTACAGATAGCTGCATGGTGATGTAAGGCCACACTTTTAGACACAGATTGCAAAGATAAGATGGCTCTTTACACCTGTTGAACAATATATTTATGAAATTTATGAGGTGTTTCGCAAATAATTGGGGAATAATCTTTAGACCGTCTTTATTGGATATCAGCACACAGCATAATGAGCAGACATAAAAAACAAATGTGCGCCATCTGCTGGAAAAAGCCAGTTCTAGGATCTCCTCTAGAACCTCTGGAGATTATATTACAAAGACGGATTTTTAAAAAATAAAAATTAAGTGTTATGGACAAATGTAAGCATTGTCTTTAGAAGACTGTTAAACACCAACAGACTGTCTTCAGTCAGAGAATTCTCCTGAACCAGAGCAAGACAGACAGCTAAAATCTGAAACAACGTGTTGGAAAAAAGCCAGTAAGTAAAAAAAAGACATTCAATTTCCCTTTGGGATTATTAAAAGTGTTTTTGAATGGAATTGAATAATGTGACTACGCACCTTTGAAGACATTGTTATAACAGTTTTGTGAACTTGTATTTAGCATTTTTCATACAGATTTAATAATCCATATTGGAATAATAGTTACCGTTTTATACACGACTCTATCATGTCGCTAGACATCAGCTTCAGTCTGGTTTCCAGGTGTTTGCCGAACTCTTCTTCAGGCCAGTGTAGATCCTTAATGAATGTTTGTAGAGCATCCAGCTTCCAGAAGAGGTCCTCTGAAGTTGCAGAACCATTACTACCGAACCACAAATTACAATCATGTAAACCAAAGCCTTTAAACTGA